GGCGGCGCGGCGGCTCGGGCCGCGGGGGCCGGCTCCGGGCTCCCCGGGCCGCGGCGGCGGCGAGGTGGCGGGTGCCACGTGGCAGGAGGCGGTTGGCTGACGGCGGTGTGTCCGCCCCGGGCGGACAATGTCCGGCGCGCGCGGTGGAAAATTAGGGTTTCGGAGGTAGGAGGAGATCCGAAAATCGGGGGGTGTTTAAATAGGCATAGAGGAAGCTAGGAGAGTCCAAATGAGGTGAGGTTTTCGGCCACGCGATCGTGATCGAACGCTCTAGATGATGGAGCAGAGTTTGGTGGGTTTTGGGCCAAATTAGAGGGGTGTTGGGCTGCAACACACACGAGGCCTTTTCGGTCCCTCGGTTAACCGTTGGTGTATCAAACGAAGTCCAAATGATACAAAACTTGATAGGCGGTCTACCGGTAGTAAACCAAGGCCACTTTCCAAGTCTCGGTCCAATCCGGAAATGTTTAATCCCCACACACGAAAGAAAGCTAGAAATGGCCACCGGAGAAGAACGAAGCGCCGGAATGCAAAACGGACAACGGGAAAAATGCTCGAATACAAGAGACGAACACGTATGTAAATGCAATGCACATGATGACATGATATGAGATGCATGACAACGACAAACAACACACGGAGACAAAAACCCGAACCCGAGATAATAAATATAACTTAACGCCGGAAACGGCAAGAGTTGGAATACAAATAGGGAAAGTTACATCCGGGGTGTTACACGGCTCGAGGCTAGGGTTTGCCCGGGTGGGCTGCCCCGGCTTATAAAGCCTGCCGGGCCAGAGTCCCGGACGGACACGGCCCGATTAGGTCGGTTCACTTTTTTTTAAATAATTACGCTCGGAAGAAAAATAAAAAGAAATACTAAACGGACTCCAAAAATTTCGAAATAAATTTTCACGGGCTTCTAAAATCAAGTCGCACAAGGTGAACCTTTATTTGGGACCTAAATGCAATTTTGAAAAATGCACATTTTTCCTAAATTCAAATAAAACACCGAAAAACTCCGAAATAAAATCCTATTTGATTTTTTATTAAATCCTCAATATTTCTTTATTTTGGAAAAGTTATTTTATTCCCTCTCTCATATTTTTGTAATAGAAATAATTGATGATAAAAATAGATAAAATCAAATGATCCTATTCTCAAAATTTAAAAAAACTCAAATATGAAAATAACAAAATCCCCAACTCTTTTCGTGGGTCATTGAGTTGCGTAGAATTTCTAGGATCAACCAAAATGCAAAATAAAATATGATATGCAATGATGATCTAATGTATAACATGCCAAATTGAAAATTTGGGATGTTACATAGAGGAGCAGGGGAGGGCCAAGAGGCCGTCGGTGGGGTTGGATCAGCTAGGCCGGAGACCTCTCATTGCTTAGGCCCCATGGCAGCAGCCGGATCGGGGCGGCGGCGGAAGGCCATGGAGGGTGTGGTGCATGCGGGCGAAACCAACATGGGTTGGTGGAGCAACGGATGCGGGCATGGTCAGCGGTTAGGGGCACTGCGAGGAGTGGAAGGCAGAGGGTAGGGGCAGAAAGCCGTGGCGAGTCCTCGGAGAGGAGAGGAAGGCGACGGTTCAGCCCGTGGTGTTGGGCAGAGAGAGATGTGGATGGCGGCGTTGTGCAAAGAGAGATGGCGGCGGCGCTGAGTAGAGAGAGATGACTGCGGCAGCGGTGGCGCTGAGTAGAGAGAGATGACGTCCATAATCTTGCGGAGGTGTTCCTCAACCTACATGAGGTTTGCACATTCCCTTCCCTTTTTCTGAATCTTTTTTTCTTTAATTTCCTCGGTTATGCGTACGATTACTTGCTAGCCTGTAGCATAGCCATTTTCAATGTTTTCATATAGAATTTTATTTGGCTTGTGCTTTCATATTTTTACAGGCACCCCAAGTGTGGGAAGAATAAAATGTAATTCAATCGTTGGGTGTATTGTTCAGATGAGTTCGTCCTGTGCTAGAAGGTGAGCTGAACCCAACCTAGGCCTCAAGTTTCTCCTGTCCTTTGAAGTGCATTGTTATTTCTGTGAGGTTCACATGTAAGTTTTTCAACTATAGTACTCAGTGAATGAGACAAGGCACTAATGCATTTAATTTTGCGGTGTTCAGCTGCAGGAATTCAGTTTGTTTCTGGTTTTTTGGAAGTCATAGATTGTTTTGTGCCGGAGACAGGACAAGTAATGCTCTAACCTTGGCAGCAAAAATGGTCTAAATTTCATATAGAAGGCCCTAGAATACTTTGCATGTGTTCATTCAAATATATGGAGTTGACCTGTATGTGTTGCTTCTGTGCACACTATGTTTCATATGAGTTTGTAGGAGAGAAACTCTATAATGGTAATGAAGTATTGTCGATATTTACTCTGTTGCTTAAGGCCTAGGCATCCTTTTGGATGCAGTTATGGTAGCATGTGTGTTTGAGAGAAGTGGATGGAAAATTGGGGACTGAAACAAGTGGCGAAGAAAGTTATTAGTTGATTCTCACATCAGATAGAAGTTGTCTCACGAATGTTTATTTATTTAGTGACCAGGCATGAGATCTGGAATATTGAAGAGCAACAATTGGCAGAAGTATTAGATGAGTTTGGGAATACATGGTCATGTATGGAGTATTTTCATGATTAGTTTTCCATCGCTCGGCTCCTGAAGGCATGATGCCTCATTTCAATTCTCTTATCTTGATGTGTTTGTATTCAGAAAATTAAGGCATGATTCATCATTTAGATTATCTTATCTCCGTGTGTTTGTATTCAGAAAATCAATTTGCTTATTTTTTGCTTTCTTAGGGCTATAAAAAGAGGAAACTCCATCGCTAAAAATCTTTTAAAGAGATTGAGGATAAAAAAATCCAAGCAAACTCCGCTTTTCTCCCGTATTTTTTGTGCGCGCCTTAATCTGTGTTGGGAGAAAGATATTGCTCTTTGTTCAGAAAATGTTTATTAGATGGAAAATACTCAGCATTTAAATTTTTTTCTTCAGATGTTTTGGGTTTTTTTAGTAGGCTGCTCGACAGGTCTTGCGTTTTTTGCAAGATTTGTATGGATTCGTGGTTCATGACTATAACTATGAATGTATGATGGCCTATAGGAGATATGTCCGTTCTTTAATGATCATTGCGGTTTCTTTGATTCCTACTATGCTAGTTATTCTGTCTGTAGGCCAGCATATTATTTTAATTCTTTCTAACTGCCTTTCTATACGTAGAAATGCACACCTACTTCCAAGCTTAGTACTGGTCTCCTTGCAGTTACAACCCCGAGGTTTAGCTTCTGAAACAGTCTGCTAACATATGCTTAACTACTTAAATGCACTGATGTTTGTGTGTTCTTTTGTAGAAAATCGCCATGCCCAGACGGCAGTGCCAGGTGTGCCTTATTTCAAGCTGCTGAGAAGAAAACCGCTGCACCAGAAGAACCTATGCAGAAGCTTGATGCAGAAGACGAGGTGCAGCTTCTTTCAACCCCTCATACTATATACCGATATATACACACATGTCTCCCTCTTCACTGGTTTTCTTTCACGTACCAGGTGAGCTCTGGTGGTAAAGCTGAAGCTTCTTCACCTCCTGTTGAAGAGAAGGATGGTAAATATGGCCAGGCTCAAGTGACCAGGAATAAATGGTGCTGCTTTTTATGTTGTCCATCTATCTATGCATCCTTCAGTTTGTACCGGCATAACAAATATTCATTTCTGACTATAAAACTTTCAGTTAAGAAACTCCACTGCTGGAAAGGGAGCTGGGGCACTAAAGAAACCGGGATAAACTATCTATAGATACAATAGCAAATTGCTCTAAATTCATTTTCAGTTATCATCTCTGGCCTTTCTATTTCTAAGACCATCCTTCTCGCTGTTGTCTATTATATAATCTTAGTTTCTCCTTGATGACATCGCAAGAAAAGAATGGTGGTCTTATGCGAGTCGCTTCGCCATCCAACAACACTCCATTGCACTACTTTTTGTCCAGCTTCAAGCCGAGCCAGTGAATGTGTGTTCCTTGCATGACGTTTAGTATAACCAAATGCTTCTTATTAAGTATGCTTTCAAAACTAGAGTATTTGGCTGCTCATGTAGCTCTGCCAAAGCAATGCAAAAAAACTACATTTTATGCTTTCAGTTAGGGTGGATTTGTGTCTTCAGAGATGAGGCAACCTTACGTGTACATATTCACAGATACTTCCTCCGTTCCTAAATAGAAGTCTTTAGAGATTTAAATACGGACTACACACAAAGCAAAATGAGTGAATCTACACTCTAAACTGTGTCCCTTTATCACACTTCCAGCAGACATGAGTTCTCGTGTTTTTACAGCTTTGTGGCAACATGATTCGATGCAGAAGATTCAACTATGTAAATTGGAATAAAGAAAATTAAACACTCAGGTCAATGGACTGTTCTTTTATTTGTCTATGGAACAACTCTTCTTGTACATGTTTGTGCTCTGTTCCATAGCATGCTAGTGCTCTGACCACTTCATATCCATGTATTTAGCAGGTTCTACGATCTCTTGTGTTGCACTGTTGCTGCGTCTCGATCTCCTGCTTTGTTGCATCTTTGTTCTGCTCCTTGATGTTTGCTTACTTTCTGTCTAGCTAAAATGCTTTTCTGGATCTGGCAAGGCCCCGTGTATTGTTCGTCCTCATGCTGCTTATATTCCATGCTTGCATGTGAGCAGGATGCGTCTACTTATTTGAGTACATACAGACATGCTTCTTTAGTGTGCCCTTCTATCATCTCATAGTTATCTTATTTGTTGTTCTAAATAATTATTGCAGGAGGGAGCAGCAGGCAAAAGAAAATCCAAAGCAAATTTTGCTCAGCTGTAGCGTCTTCCACTAACAATAAGTCTGCACAGCAGCCTGATAGGTTAGTTCTTGCAACTAAAAAACACAAGTCTTTCAGTTGCTCACCATTCGCTGGTAAAAAAGCATAGTGATTTTCCTTTATACATACCCAACTGAAGAACACCTTAGTTAAATCAATCAATAGTGAGTTTTGTATTACTAGAGACGTACTTAGGAAAATGCCCTTAGGCGTGACACACTACATGGTTACCTTACTTAGTCCCAGTTATTGATATCATATTGAGATAACACTCCGCCAAGCAGAATGTTTGTTTTTATATACTTCCAGATGCTAATTTACTGTTCTTGATTTTGGCGGGGATATTCCTTCATTACTTGGTTAGCTGTCAACACTCACCAATTTTTGAATATCTTCCATTGCTAAATTTAGTTCAACATTTCCACTCTGATCAAGCCATGGTGCATATTGCCTCAGATTTGCTTATTTGAGTGTGCTTTTATGCATAGATTTTGATTTGTTTGTTTTTCATTTTTTAGGGATATGAGGAGACAGCTCTATTGTTGGTAGTGACTGCAAACATGGACTCCTCTTCGCTGGACGGGGAAAACAAAAATAATAATCTAGTAGGCAGTAAAATTACATGGCTGATCTCGGCTTTGTACATCTTAGGTGAGCATTATGAGTTCTACTTCCCATAAGAGAGTGTATTTTGGTGCTACAGATTGTTTCTATCTTAGAGCAAGAAGCCAAATCATGTCGTTCATTGTAAATCTTGAAAAACTTGTTTATTGTCACTTCTATATCTGTTATAAACTTTTGTTCCTGGTGTGGTACTTGTCAATCTTGGTTTGCCCTTCCATTTCAAATTTGCCCTTCCACTGCAGCAATATGTCAATCTTGTGTTCTTGAATTGATTCCTCATTTCATGTCTGCACTTCTATTACAGTAGAACATGTTATAAACATGGCCCTGGGCATTGTTTGTCCAGTAACCTTCAAAAGAGAAGAGATGGCTATAGAGAGTGGCTCCATCACTAAAGAGATGACAAATGTTGTGCAAGGCATTGTTTGTTCAGCTCCTTTCAAAAAATGAAGGAATTACAGTGCATGTGACCTATATAGGGGATGTGAAGGACAAATTGCTATGGATCCAAAGTGGGAGGGGAGAGTTACCAACAACGTATATGGACAAAGCATGACATGGATTCCCAAGTTCTAGCTTACATAGCAAAATTATATAGAGAGAATGCCCGCATTTTGAAAACTCCATTACATAGTTCGAAGCTATTTTCTTTCAATTTTCATTATTAAAAGGATTCTATTATTGCCAATCTGTTAACAATTTATTGTGAAATTATTAAGGATAATTAATCCCAGCAGTTAATCAGGGAAATCCCCGTTTCCCCTCACCTGCGGTTGCAACTCCAGCAACCAGCGTGACAGTTCACAGTTCCTTCCATCCCTACGCATCTCAGGAGGCGCCTCTTCAACCTTGTATATAATCTGTGAAAGATGATCAATAAAGGCTACACATGTTCATTCTATTTGTTTCTCTCTCGCTTGTGTCTTGATTACATTTAACAGAAATAACTCTTGGTTTGAAATGAGACCCTAGGGGTAAAGTTAGTATACATGTTATTTAGACAGCAAGCCTCCATTTTTATTGTAGACAGAAGGCCCCCATTCTTTTTTATTAAGGGGGTTTAAATTTGTTACCATATGTGTTTGCTCACAACTAAACCATGGATTTTTTTTAAATATATGTTTTTTTTTCAAACTTAGATTTCTCATCATGATAACCGTATTTTCAACTAATACAATGCTTCTTTAGCTGGTTTGTACATCAGTACATTTTATACAATTTTTTTCAAACTCAGATTTGCAACGCGATAACCATATTTTCAATATAGCATGATTTAACACATGAGCTTTCTACTACCAATATCGAATATGTTCCTGCAAAATAAAACTATTTTCATCGACAACATGGTTTTAGCGGGTCGCTGCGCCATTTGGCACAACGGGTCAACTAGTATCCCTTAGTTTCCGCTAGGACCCCGCTACCACGGGAGGGTAGGACAAAAGATGTCATGCAAGTTTTCCATAAGCACGTATGACTATATTCGGAATACATGCCTACATTGCATTGATGAATTGGAGCTAGTTCTGTGTCACCCTATGTTATGACTGTTACATGATGAACCGCATATGGCATAATTCTCCATCACTGATCCATTGCCTACGAACTTTCCATATATTGTTTTTCGCTTATTTACTTTTCCGTTCTTGTTGCTATCATCACTACAAAATACCAAAAACATTACTTTTGCTACCATTACCTTTTTCTAGCGTTACCACTACTACCATATTACTTTGCTACTAAATACTTTGCTGCAGATATTAAGTTTCCAGGTGTGGTTGAATTGACAACTCAGCTGCTAATACTTGAGAATATTCTTTGGCTCCTCTTGTGTCGAATCAATAAATTTGGGTTGAATACCCTACCCTCAAAAACTGTTGCGATCCCCTATACTTGTGGGTTATCACTACAGTAGAGAGTGATAAAGTTTTTGCATTGCTTTATACTAACTTATCTCACGAGTTCTTGTTGAGTTTTGTGTGGATGAAGTTTTTGAGATTTAGGAAAATCGTGATATGAGGGGAATTAAGGAGACACAAAAGCTCAAGCTTGGGGATGCCCAAGGCACCCCAAGATAATATTTCAAGAAGTCTCAAGCATCTAATCTTGGGGATGCCCCAGTAGATATCCCACCTTTCTTCTTCAACAATTATCGGTTGAGCCTAAGTTTTTGCTTCTTCACATGATGTGTGCTAGTCTCGGAATGTCATTTTGTTTTTCTTTTACTTGGTATTTTAATAAAATACTTAGATTTGAATGTTTTTAGATAAGAGAGTCCTCAAATAGCTACCCATTTACATAACTACTCGCTTGATCTTCACTTATATCTTTTTGGAGTAGCTTGCCATTTACTCTTGTGCTTCACTTATATCCTATGAGTAAATTGTTGAATGAATTGAATATCATGAACTTGAAATTATATCATGCCTAGTGGTAGCTTCACATTGGGTTTAGAAAGTGAAATCTTTTGAAGCTTGACAATCACAATATTGGTCATACAAGCAATTCATGAATAATTAGTATAAGGAAGAGAACTTTCACACGTAAATGCACTATCTTGGAAATCTTTTGTGATTGTGAGCCCCCATCAAAATATTATATGCAAAAATTGTTGACCCTGGACAAGGAAGACAACATAATGGTTTATGTTTGTTCATATTCACATAGAAGTTATATTGTCATAGATCCTTCCACATGTGGTGTTCCCCCCACCTTTGCTAGCCAAAAATTTCGCACCAACTAGAGATACTACTTGTGCATCCAAAAACCCTTAAACCCAAATCTTATTTTCAATAGTCCACCATACCTACCTAAGGATTGAGCAAGATCCTTCAAGTAAGTTTTCATTAGTGCAATAAGGCAATGAAAATTGCTTCTAAAAGTATTAGATCATTTAGTGTAAGAGAAAATTGAGCGTTGTACGAACTTGTGATGGCAAAGAATAAAAGCAACAGACTGCATTATAAAGGTTGCTATCATAAGGGGCAATATAACATGACGTTCTTTTGCACTAAGGGGTTGAGCATACAAACAAAAAGCGCATGCAACCTTTGCTTCCATTTGCGAAGGGCCTATCTTTTACTTTTCATTTTTACTTTCATGCAAGAGTCAAAGTTTTTCTCTTTGTTAGTTTTTATTTTTCTCTTTTGGCAAGCATCATGTGATGAGGAATGATCTAGGCACATATATGCAGATGGATATGGGTAGCATGAGTTATTATTGTTGACATCACCCTTGAGGTGAATACGCTTGGAGGTGAAATTATAAGCCCCTATCTTTCTATGTGTCCGGTTGAAACGTTTTGCTCATGTGTATGAGGTGAGTGTTAGCAATCATAGAGGACTATATGATGGTTGAGTATGTGGAGCTCTTACTTAAACTCTGTTGAATAAGTTGAATTACAATTGCTTGGTGACTGAGAACATAGGTTGCTGAGTTTCAAGAGAATTCATTGTTTGAACCTTAACATGTGAATTGGTTGCTACTTTAACATGAGAAGTTTTATAAGAAAGAATTGATGTTATGATGCTAGGAAAGGTGATTGAAATTGTCATTGATCAAACTTGTGCACTTCGCTAGCATTCACACTTCATAAATTATTTCTTTTATCATTTACCTACTCAAGGACGAGTAAGACTTAAGCTTGGGGATGCTAATACGTCTCCAACATATCTATAATTTATGAAGTATTCATGCTAATATATTATCATTCTTGGATGTTTTACAATCATTTTATAGCATCTTTATATCATTTTTTGGGACTAACCTATTGACCCAGTGCCAGTTGTTGTTTTTTTTCTTGTTTTCTACATCGCAGGAAATCAGTATCAAACGGAGTCCAAACACACAAGCTCAACTTGATGTATCTAATCAAGTTTCCGGTGCAAACATACAAGCTCATGTTGTTCTTGAGCCTAAAGTGTCTAATGAACAGACTGCTAATGAGTATTTGATGCAAACATTTTACATGCTCCTAGTGATGAACATATAGTGTCTAATGAGGGATCTAATGCAAGCATTTTGCAAGCTCTCATTGTAGGATTTAGTGTCTAATGATGATCTGCTATGTTGAGAGAACATAGAGATTTGCAGGCATTGATGACAAGCAAATTATTGTACATTTTCATGGCTTGTGAAAACGTCGAGGCCATCTACCAGAAAGTCCCCGTATCATGGCAACGTGGCATAAATACTTTTCTAATCTGTTGTTTGAAAATATTGGCATACTTGTGTAGGATACATATATTGATATGCAGTTTGCGCACTGGTTATAGGTGCAATTACACTTCGATATTTTCTGCCAGAGAACAAATAATTCAAGCAGGTACAGACCATGTTAGTAGTCCTTGTACACCATGTTGCATTTTGTGTTTTTGGGGCTTACATCATTTAGTATTTTATAATCTGAACTACTTTGGATCATTAGCTGGTTTTCAAAGTGCATGTAGCTTCACATTTCTCAAGTTATGTTGATTTCTGGAGTGCAAGTGCCTTTGTATTTTTTAAGTTAATTTTTCGCCGCTGGTAACATGAATTCGTGGATTTTCCACTGCACACAAATCATACAGGCAGGCCATTATGAATTAAGTGAAATGCAGGGACTTACGCTAGCTCGTTGTACATGCTCACTGCAGCTCTGCTTGTGCTTGGGATATTCCATGTACAAGTCCATATTCCCGCACCCCCTCTTCACCCTATAAATTCCCAAATATTCCAAAAACCCTGGGGGTAACCCTAGATGAGAAGTTCTGCCGCCGCAAGCCTCTGTAGCCATGAAAAACCAATCTAGATCCCGTTCCGGCACCTTGCCGAAGGGGGAAATCATCTCCAGTGGCCATCTTCATCATCCCGGTGGCCACCACGATGAGGAGGCAGTAGTCCACCCTCGGAGCAGAGGGTTTGTACCAGTAGCTATGTGTTTAATCTCTCTCTCTCTCTCTCTCTCGTGTTCTTGAGATGTCACGATCATGATGTATCACGGGCTTTGTTAATATAGTCGGATCATATGGTGTTTTCCCCTCTCTATCTTGTTGTGATGATTTGAGTTTTCCCTTTGAGA